GAGAAGCGGGGGTCTGTGCTCTCCCCCAGCTTGAGAGACGGCTGGTGCCAGCGAAATGTGCTAGCCTGTGCCACACTCTCCATAAGGCCCACTATACGGACCAAGGCGTCCTGAAGCACTAGAGTGGAAATGAAACCCACTGGGGCTTGAGCTGGTCCTGTTGGAACAGTCTGGGCTGGAACCTCCTCGTTAAACTCTACCTGAGGCTCCAGTGCTGGTGCTGCTGCTCAAGCTTGGGGCTGAGCTCTGCCCTTACCTGCCTCTGGCACGACTTCGGCCTCGACCTCTGCCCCTCGTAGGAGCTGTTGTAGACTCTTAATCTTATGCCTTAATTTTGCACACCTTCGCTCACATGAATGCGCACATGAATGTGTTGACAAACTAATTTGGAATGAGTTACATGCCAAGTGTGTGTGAGGTAATACACGTATTCTGTGCTTGCATGCGATACCTAGTACTTGCCCCGTGTGTGTGCAAAGCGAAATAGTAGTTGTTTGGTCTTAGAGATGATTTAGGCATTTCTTTGTGTAGCCTATATAATCATGAATCCACCTGTACATATTACCATAGTTAACCCCTTTGAGCCTATAATCCTTTTTCTTTGGCAACCACATTACAAGCCTTACCCATTTGTTTGAATTAACCATCTATTTGAACCTTTTCACCTCTCATGAACACTTGAATTGTTATGAACATTGTAAAAGTTAAAGTGTGGGGTGGTCGGTTTGACTTTCGAGTGGAACTAGTTGAATAAGGAGAAAGGTGCACTGTTTTGAAAAAGGAAGAGCCACGTGAATTGAAAAAAAAAAATAAAAACTCCTACATAAGTGGTGGCTCTTGATGCAAGTGTGCTTAAAGAAGAATGGGGTAGTTACATTGATATGAAGGTGGAATTTTGGGGTGACATAAGGAAGAGGTTTAATCGAGAAAATGCATGTATTAAAGTGCTTAGGGAGGTGTAGTCACTCTTATATCTAAATGCATCCTACCCATCCCGTAGCCTACATTACAACCAAATGAAGCCCTATTGATCTTAGACTGAACAATTCGATTAGTAGAGTATTACACTAAGGGCAAGCTTATGGTGTATCTGTGTGGCACATGAATGTTCTTTGCTGAGAGTGAGTGAATTCGTTTATTCTACAGTTCCTTGTTGTTTGATTTCATGTATGTGGAACTTCTCTAAAAAATGTGATGTGAGGGCATTTAACTCAAGAAGAAAAATCAAGTCTTCACTTCTGTTAGAGTACATAAAGTAAGCATGAGTGTGGCATGACATTAGAGTCTTCATCTGAGGTGTGGCTGTTGCACTGCTTAGGTTGTTCTTTCATAATAGCAGGTGTGACATAAAAAGGATAATGCATCTAACGAATAGGCCTAGAAGTGTGGTTCAACTTGCTCGAGGACGAGCAAAGATTTAAGTGTGGGGTGTTGATAATAGGTGAATTAGACTATAATTGGACCCTAAAGAACCACATTTTTGTATAGCTTTATGGTAAAAAGTGATAACCAAATGCTCTGATTAGTGTTTTTCATGCTTTGCAGGCTATATCCTTGAAAGAAGTCGATGGAGCACGTTTGGGATCAATTACGGAGAAAAGGAGGCCAATCAAACAATGCCCACGAAATGCACCAAGCGAAGAGACAAAACCAGAGATAAACTTGGCCTGCCGCGGTCAGACGGTAACCGCGGTAGGACCGCGGCATAACATTATTAAAGATTCAGAGGACCTCTTTGGCCGCGGTCCTGGCGTAACCACGGTGGGACCGCGGCAGAACGCGGAAAAGCCAGGGACTAAAGTGTCAAGTCGGGAAAACTTGGTGTAAAACCCTTATAAGAAGTAGGAATTCGGCCACATTAGGGCAGATTTGTTTTGGAGACTACTTTGGCAAGAAACACAAGTGTGAGAGATCACCCAAAAACATCATAGTTCTTTATCTCTTCTTTTTCTTGCAATTTTCCATGATGAATATTTTCGTAGTTTATCTTTATGTTGTTATGAGTAGCTAAATACTTTAGTCTAAGGTTTTGATGGAACCTATTGCAGGATGAACTTCTTGATTATGTTAATATAGTTTGCCAGTTAATCTCTGTTTGTTCAACTACGTGTTCGTTGTAGTTAATTGACAGGATCCTCAATTAGCTGTGCCTATTTAGTGTGCATAACTAGGAAAGGAGTGCATATTTAGGTAATTGTTGAACAGCACCACTCCCAAAGTATAAGAGGGATCTATAACTGCGGGTTTAAAGGCGGGATTAGGGATAACGAAGCCTTGGGTGTAATCTAAAGTGAGCTGTAATAAACAAAGTCAGCTAGCGTATCTTGGGAGAGTGCGTCTAATAAATTATCGCGATTACTCGGGAGAGATTTACGGTAAAAAGAGTGCTCATGATTGATAGAGATATTTTGGTGAATCTATATGAAACATAACCGGAAGGGATTCCATCAATAGGGGAAATCACTACCTTAGAACCTTCTCATTATTGTTTACAACCCAAGCATATTTAGTTTACAGCTGTTTATTTACTTTCAGTGTTAGTTATTAGAAATACCATCAACTATTGTTTACAATGTTTGGGGAAGTTGATTATAAAGAATTTAGTGATTCCAACAAAAGGTAATTGATAGGTTAATTCTCTGTGGGATTCGACTTCGGACTTGTAAACCGGATTATATTTGCAACGACCGCATTGTCCTTCTTATAAGGCATAGTTGGGCGTGATCATTTACATTAACAATTAATTATTCATCCAATAGAAGCAGTAATAAAAACAACTAGTGTTGTTCATCCCCACAGGCCGCAGGCTATGCAAATGCTTCTCTTTGCGCTCCAAAGAAATGCTGTTAGGGGAGAAAATATTTATCTAACATGTCGGACTCCACTACATGTAACACCAACTAGATGCTCTAAGAACACAACTATTGTTAGTTGAAACAATCTCCAATAGGTAAGTAAGGCCATATTACTCCGAAAATGTAACCATCTTTCCCAACAACCTTCAAGCGATAAGATGGAATGGATGAGATTTCTCCACCTTTAACCAACGTCGAGTGACTCTCATCTTATGTGAGGTGAGTCCGGTCTAATATGAGCTAATGAGTTTCAGATATCGGATAACTAAATAAGAAACAGTTAAAACTCAGTCCGAAGTGAATTTGGCTTGAGAATATGAATTATCCTTGACAATATTCTCCATTTAAATGGGCGGTTAAACAAATAAAGACAATATTCCCTAATGTGTGTGTTTCTTTGTTTGTTTATTTCTCCCATTTAATTGTATTAAATTATTGAAAATGTTTTCCTGCCCAAATGAGAGACAAAATTGCATGCTTTATATGTGTAAATTGTTTTCTCTGACAACCACCTACACTCTTGCTTCTGATAAGATATGGACCTAAGCCTAACTCAACCCCATTGGTGCTCTTGATAACAGAAGTTAGTTACGGGCTTCGGGTGCCATAATATTCTAATAATGTGGGTGTCACAGTAATCTCGAAAATTGACTTGTGGATCATGGTAGTGGGCCACGTGGAACTTAGTTCGAGGGAGAGATTATTGGGTGTGCGAAAAAGTCTCACATTGGTAGCTGAAAAAATTGGGAGTCTACATATAAGGTGTAGGGATCTCTTAATGGTGTGAGGCCCCGTGCGGTCTTGGCCCAAAGCGGACAATATCACACCATGTTAAGAGTGTCTTTGGGTTAGTTTAGCCCAACAATTAGTTTATTTGGAATGAGGGTTAATTTTGATGATGAGATACAACGACTTTGGCTTCTTAATACTCTACCAGACTCTTGGGAAACTCTTCGTGTTTCTTTGAGAAATTCAGCTCCTGGAGGTAAGGTGACCATGGAATATGCCAAGAGTGGTGTGTTGAACGAGGAAGTAAGGAGAAAATCGCAGGGTTCATCCTCACAAGCAGATATCTTGGTTACAGAAGACCGGGGGAGAGATAGAACAAGAGGCTCAAGGAATAGAGGTAAAAGTAGAAGTAAGTCAAGGTCCAAATACTATAATGTTACATGCAACCACTGTGGCAAGAAAGGACACATCAAAAGGTTTTGCCGCAAGTTGAATCAAGACACTAAAGAAGGAAAGAAAGTTGAAAATAACGAGAATAATGTTGCTGCTATTGTTCAAGATGACCTTCTTTTTGTTTATGATGAAAACGTCATCAATTTGGTATCCCATGAGACGAGCTGGATAGTAGATTCTGGAGCTACCTTACATGTCACACCAAGAAAAGATTTTTTCTCATCTTATACTCATGTTGATTCTGGAGTGTTACAGATGGGCAATGCCAGTGAAGTTAAGGTGTTTTGTGTTGGCATAGTTTGTTTGAAAACTAATAATGGTATTGCGGTTGATCATCGTCGCAGGAATCGGTCACTTGAGGGGCTTCAAACTAATGTTCAAAGGTTGAAGACCTACAAGGCCAAATTAGTTGTCTTCCCAAGACGTGCTCGCAAGGTTAAGGCTGGTGATTCTGCCCCCGAGGAATTGGCTACTGCAACTCAAGTCCATGGTGATTACATGCCTATTGCACGTGAGAAGCCATCAGTTGATCTTGTCAAGGTTACTGAAGAGATGAAGTCGTTCAATGCCTATGGCAAGCTATGTGTGGAGCGGACGAACGAGCGTTACATTGGTGCTAGGATGAAGAGGGCTGTAGAGGCTGAGAAGGAGGAAAAGAAGTAGTGAGGTTTATCTTGATGAGATACAAGGACTTTGGCTTCTTAATACTCTGCCAGACTCTTGGGAAACTCTTCGTGTTTCCCTCATAAGAAAAAAGAAGGTCATCTTGGATAATAGCAGCAACATTGTTCTCGTTATTTTCAACTTTCTTTCCTTCTCTAGTGTCTTGATTCAACTTGCGGCAAAACCTTTTGATGTGTCCTTTCTTGCCACAGTGGTTGCTCTGATACCATGATAAGATATGGACCTAAGCCTAACTCAACCCCAAAAGCTAGCTTGTGAGGTGCGGACTGCCCAAGACCATATAAGGAGACCAAGATACCCATAACCCACCTATATGAAACAACTCAACACCCCCCCCCCCTCACGCCCAGGCCTGCAACTGGAGCGTGGACAATATAAAATGGGGGCCCAACATCGGTAACAATAAATTGGGATGGGCCTAGCTCTAATACCATGATAAAAATGGACATTGGGTCTAACTCAACCCCAAAAGCTAGCTTGTGAGGTGAGGATTGCCCAAGCCATATAAGGAGACCAAGGACCTCAACTTCCACCGATGTGGGACAACTCAACAGCTCCACATGAATTTCTCATTTTCATTCTACACTATCATATGAGATTACCGTTATTATGCTTCACCCACTACTTAATACTATCATTACATGCATTTTAACTGTTATCTTTAACCGATTTGACAATAACATCGAACAAATGATTCTCCAATATAAGTTGTATTTTATGAAAAATATACCCAAGTTTTAGTAAATATTCTAATAATAATATAGAATTTAAGCAAAAATTATTAAATTCAATTGCAGCTCCGCCCCTGCATACTTTTACCATCCGAGCTGCTGCTGCTACTACTGCTATAGTAAAAATAGTTAGGTCTCAATGGTTCACGTCAGTCATTAATTAAAAAATTACATAATTGTGATTTCTTACATTATTTTTTAAGTCATCCAATTATTTAGTATCCTTTATGCTTTGTCATATTAAATGTGTAGAGTCACTAAAATTAGTTGACCAAGTGATTCTAGCTAAACCTTATCTTGGTCCAAACTAGAAAAATTGGCTAATATTTATTCCTTTACCGTCTTAGCTACTTCTACTACTACTGCTAGTACACAACAGCGTTTTATGAAGCCTTCCGTGCAAGGAAAATAATGCCTCTTTCCACTTATAGTAAAAATGAGGAATTGGACGTTAATGATCATAAAATTAATCATAATTATAGATGTAAGAGGTATTACTACAAATAGAAGTACCAATATTCTTCTCAATCATATATTTTTAACTTTAATTGTCACATTAAAAATAAGAGTATTCTCAATTATATATTAATTTGAGAAAGACAGAAATAATTCGAAAACTATATAATTGAGAGCTTGGCTGGTGGATTTTGAAATTTCACGATGAATGCCTAATTGGTACTCCTAATTTATTATTTATCCCTTTTCTATGCTATGGATACGACAAGGAACAAGCGGATTGGAAATGAAAAAGGAAATAATAAAAATATTTAACAGACATTATCATAACTCATAAGCAAACGTTCAACTGCAAATTAAATTAAAATTAGTTGTTTTACCCCACATGGAATTGATGAAATTGAAGCTTAGAACAGAACTCACATCGAATAGAAAGTTTCCAAATAAGATGTGGATAGAAAGAAAAATAGACGTACATGGTAAGGAAAAGAAGACGATGGAACTCATAGTCCCCTAAACAAAATTCAATAGGGACTAGAATCGCGGGCGGAGCTAGAAGTCCAGCTACGAATTTAGCCGAACACAATAGCTTTTGTTCGAATATTAATGTATTTATATTAAAAAATTCATTAGACCTGTATAAATATTAGGGCCCACCGATGAAAGCAAAATGATTTTCAAAAAAACAAAAGAAAAAAACCAGCAGTTTAATGGGCTCAGTAAAAATTTAGGGATTTTTACCTAGCTAACTATAGTAAAAACCTATTTACCATATTTATTTAGGTTCCTTATTAATTACTTTGTATATCTATATTTACAAGTTATATACAAAACTATTAAAAAGAAAAAATTCAAGATCCCTTAATTTTAGCTTGTCAGTTAAAACCCATTTCCAATAACTCCCCCTACATTTAAGATTATGTTCCTTTTTTCTTTCTTTCTTAATAGTCACCAAAAATATCTCTTTTATTTTATA